TGTGAGGTCTGGCGGTGTCCACCCAATCGCCGTCTTTGGGAATGGCACCCAAATTAATGGGTCCCGACTTGAGTCCATCCAATTCATAGAGATGGCCTGAGATGGGAACGTATGATATGAAGTGAAACACGTCGTCGTCTTTTTGGGCCTTTTGTCCGTCGAAGTCAAACATCTGTTGTCTGGAGAAGGAGTTGTGCACCTCTTTGATGGTATTCGAGTTACTCAACGCCAGGCCCTTCATCGTGGGGTCGAAGTGTTGTATGAATTCCTTTAAGTCGGTTAATGTCTGTCCCAATTGGATGTCTTCGTGCGCGCAGTTCAACAGTATATTAATGATGGCTTGAGTGGCGCACGCGTTGTTGATCACCTGTTTGGCGAAGAACACGTGCTCGTAGTCCACCGCATGGCCCGAGGGTTCAGTCGATGGCATCCATTTGAACAGAAATATCAGTCCATGGATTGGTCTAACCAGAGATCAATTGGTATTTCATTTAGTAGCATGCTCTCATTTTATCAAATAGATATTGATAATTGTGAAAATACAGTATTTTTGTACATAATATTACTAAGAATTTGCAATAATAAAAGTGACTGAATGGCCATTATTAGTATTTTATATTTAACTATCATTAGCAGCCGACATAAGAATTTGCTTATATTTTTACATTATGTTATCACTTACACTTTATGAACTTTTTAACTCATAATCACAGCGATTAACTTGTATGACTTATAATGTTAAAATATAAGCAAATTCTTATGTCGGCTGCTAATGATAGTTAAATATAAAATACTAATAATGGCCATTCAGTCACTTTTATTATTGCAAATTCTTAGTAATATTATGTACTAAAATACTCTATTTTCACAATTATCAATATCTATTTGATAAAATTAGAGCATGCTACTTAGCGATCATAACAAGCAGTTAATGGTTAAACACATGGATTCATACTTAAGATTTACGAAACAGTCGGCACTTAATGAATACAACTCTTCCACTTGTACTCCACTAACACCTGAAGAATAACCATTCAATCACTCATTGATATCAATAAAAATAAGTGCAAATCATTGTAACGATAATTACCAAAGCCACGGATCAATTCCGTGAACACTCCTGGATCCGACTCAATGAGACACCAGTCGCCCGCACTTTGATGACCATCTGATGCCATGTCTTCGTGAGTGTCACAAGCAATTGATCCAACAGTTCAGCCGTTGATTAGTTGACAAACAAGCGATGAGTTTATGAAAACACAAATTGTGTCCAAAAATGCTTTCCCTATGAATGCATGCATTTCTATGGCTTTTATCACACGTTTTATATGAATGCTATTCACAGCCAATTCAATCACATGTCAAAAGCAATGCAAACATCTCTTCGTTAAACTGATTGTGATTTTTAAATCAATTAATTTGACAAACAATTGAGTATTTAATTGACATTTCAATCGATATTATCTTCATCTGAATTGTGGTCTACATTGACATGATTTGAAGGACACAATGAGTTGGCGAATAAAAGTAAGTCTTATTGATATGTTTCATTGATATTCAATAGATATTTGAGACTCAAATTTCTAGTGGTTTTTCACCACACTTTGCAATGCATAACTTAATGTGATTACATAATTGCTATAAATGTTTTAACTAACTAAAAGTTAGTCGCTATATATATATAATTAATGTTGCCATACTCAATATTCATCAAGTAACCACTGACTTTTCATATAAGCAACTAATTGATGCACATCTTTGAATGAAATTCATTTGACATTTAAATGCCGTTCAATGAGATGGTAATCATTGACATCTTAATGATAGTAAGATCTTAATCTTAGACATCTTAATCTTTAGTTAACGCATCGGTTGATTTAAAATAATTTTTATTAATTTATTTGTTGGCCTATTGTTTGATAAAAACTTTTGTCAATTCATTTCATGCGTAAAATTTCTAAATTGGGTTTTTATGACAACTTTTTAACAAATATAATATTGTTAAGTTAAAGTATTTTATTTATTCATTCAATTGTCTTATTATATGTGAAAAATTCTTATTTTTCATTTAAATAGACTTTATTTATTAACCTTACTCAATAGAAATTTTAATCATAATTTTCTATATTTATTTTTATTGTAAAATATTTTATTTGTCTTAAAGTTTACGATACATATTATTTGTACGACTATACTGTACAAGTATATTAACAGTAATAAGAGAAAAGTTTTTACTAACTTTATAAGTTACATTGATGGAATAATACTTATTAAGTTATTATATTCAAAATTTATCTTAAATTTGTTCATAAGTTTTGAAATAATGATGATTTGGTTAAATTGACAGTAGATTTGATTTTGAAAAATCTTGTAAAACTAGTCGAAAGTAAATGCAAAACTCAATGATGTCTACCTTTTGGGAGGGATTTAAGTTAGACTTGGTTTCAGTCTGTGGTGAGTACTCAGCGATACGTTTATAGCATTTTATCAATAGTTTTGTGTTTATAATTCACATCCATTTAGTTAACTTCATAATCAATGTGTTTACTCTGTTTTGTGTAAATATAACTAATAATTTATCATAATTTTGTTTATAAATTGTGTTGTTTTTAATGCTTAAGATTTGCTCAATATTAACGCATTGATTGCAATTGAAATGAATCTATGAGCCAATTGTCCTGATTATTGGTATTTTTGTCGACTGTTTTGAGGAAGTTATCCACAATTGGGACCTAATTTTCAATACACAGTATATTAGGATATA